AGCTCACAGCAACCTCCAACTCCTGGGCTCAAGCAAGTCTCCTGTCTCCACCTCCCAAGTTTCTAGGACCACAGGCTCCCGCCACAGCACCTGGCTATTTTTTTTTTTCCGGTTACAGCCGTCATTGTTGTTTGGCGGCCCAGGCTGGATTCGTTCCTGCCACCTTAGGTGTATATGGCTGGCACCTTAGCCACTTGAGCCACAGGCGCTGAGTCATGGACTAGGGTTTCAGTGAGTTCTTTTGGTACAGGACCAGAAGGATGAGAAGACTGAAGAACAACAAGGGAAAAAAGAAAAAAGAGAAAGGAGAGGGGGTGAATAAAAGGGAATATTGACAAAAAGAAGAGAGGCACAGAAAGAGGGAGACAGGAGCAATATCAGTGTACAGTAGGGTACTTTGACCGAACCTTAAAAAGCCCCAACTTCTAGGAGTGCCAGGTTGGGTGGTTCTCTTGAGGTCAGCAGCTCTTTGTCAGCCTGATCAGACACAGTACCCCACCTCCACCAAGTAGAGAAGAAAGACAAAAATGCTACAAATTAAAGCAAAACAAGCAAAGAGAAAACTTTATGGGATAAAATTGGAGGGGAATCAAATAATAGGAATAGAAACACTAGTAAAAATGAAGTTCTAAAAAAGAACTTTAACATTGTTGTTAAAAAAGGCAACAATGGAAAATTATATTTAAACTAGAAAAATCTAGAGGGAAAATGTTGAAAGTAAAAAACAAAACAAAAAACAAAGCAGTATATATATCCTGCTGAATACTGTCTGGGCAACAGGTGATCTTCTGGGGCATGAGATGTTAATCACAATGCTGATACAGCTATACAAGATGGAGACTGGAGGCGTCTGCTTATTTTTCAAACCCTGCAGGGTAGAGAGGCTAAATCTCTCCTCAGCCTGCTTAAAAGCCACTTTAAACTGCTAACCTTGGCTCAGCAGAAGCTTTCCCAGGAATGCACTTATTACTGGGATCACTCCTAAAGTGGCTGTCCACTTGCCCAATGTGCCAAAACCCGTCTCACTCTATGCCCCTGAGGGCCAAGGCTGTAAGGCATCTCAGTCCCAGCCTTTAGGCTGCTTAGTCACTGGATTACTCCCACAAGGTCTCCTGCCCAATCCTCGCTCTGTAACACTGAGGGCAGATCTTGCTGGGGCAGTTTTCCCACAGGGGCTTCGTGGCCCACAGCCGAACCCTCTTAGCTCTGCCCAGCTCTGCAGCTCAGTCTGGGGCCCTAGACAATGTTTAAAGTCCTCTGCACTTTTGCCCAAGCTCTCCCAAGATAGTTCAACTGAGTGCCAAGTCCAAAACAAAACAAAACAGCTCACAGGGAAGGCCTTTCCAGTTTGCAATCTCACTCCTGCTGTACTTACAACTGCCAGTGGGATTAGACCCAACGAACACACGCAACCACTTGCCAGTTCTCCACTGCTTTTGTCCTCCTCATGGGATCCAGAAGTCCCTCACTGACTCCCTGTGTCCCCAGAGGGATGTTTCTGGGCCAATCCCACCAGCCAGAGATGCCTGAAGTCTTCTCTCCCCAGACTCACCGAGCCCAGTTGCAAGGAAGCTGTTACTTGGCCACCATCTTGCTCCTCCCCCTGCCTCATATCTTTTATCTTGAAATAATTCTGTTTTGTTTTAGAATCATTTAACTTATTATATTTTTATCTTATTTTGAAGATTTATTGATATAATTGTATATTGATGAAGTACATGCAATATTTTTGATAATGCATACAATGTATAATGATCAAATCAGGGTAATCGGGATATTCATCCCAAATATTTATTTATTTATTTATTCATTATTTTTGGTGTTGGAAACATTTTAGATTTCCTAGCTATTTTGAATACAATAAATTATTTTTAAACTGTACTCACCCTGCTTTGAACTTGTTCCTTCTATCTAATCGTATTTTTATACACATTATCTTACCTCTGAGGTAATGGTATTTGTCTTCCTTTACTTACTAATATTGAATATTAGTCACCAAAGTCATGAAATCTAGACAACGTTGATCTGAGTTAATATGGGTTGTTTAGACTTGAAATTCTAGCATCATTTTTTCAGGGCCTTTTTATGGTCTTTACCATGGTTACTCACATTCACTAGTGGTGAATTCACTTCATTTGGTTTTAAGCAGCATATTGTGATCTAATATGGCTTAATCAAAAAATAATATTTTATTGGCTTATACAACTGAAAAACCCAGGGATAAATTTGACCCCAGGAGAGGCTTTACTTTACGGCTTAAATTATACAACCAGGCCTTCAGTTTCTCTTTTCATCTGTCAGCTCCTCTTCTGTTTTTAGGCAAGCTTTTCTTCCATATCTCAAGATAGAAGCTAGCAACTCTCAGAGCTTTATATTCTTTTGTGTATAAACATCGGAAAAGAAAAGCATCGTATCTCAACAGTTTAAGCTGAAGTCCCTAAATCGAACTTCTTTGTCCCTGGCTGTCTCAATTTGAGTCATGTGTTATTTGCTGAACCAGGCTCTGGTCAAGATGGAATAAATGAATTGGCTAAAGCTCCAGATAGGAGCGGGTAGGCAGTCAGCCAATCCTCACTGTCCTCTTCCCTTCCTGATTGAGGGGGAAAGTTTTCTTTGTTGCTCTTGCTCAAAATTTTTGAGTTAAAGATTTGGTTCTTCCCTTTTACTTTAGCCTTATTTCTCAGTGTCTGAAAAACAACCGATCAGACTTTGAATAGCTGTTTTATATTATTTCTGGAAAGCTAATTAGAATATAGAGAGATAAAATAGACTAGTAGCATCTGTATATTAATTCAGAATTCTGTTAATCCATTCTTTTTTTGTCATCTTCCTTAGGTTCAAAACTGGGCAAATTAATGGAGATTTGCTGATATATCACGTCTTATTGACTTTAAAGCCATATTATGCAAAGCCATATGAAATTGTAGTGGACCTTACCCATACTGGACCTAGTAATCGCTTTAAAACAGACTTTCTGTCTAAGTGGTTTGTTGTTTTCCCTGGCTTTGCTTATGACAATGTCTCTGCAGTCTATATCTATAACTGCAACTCCTGGGTGAGGGAGTACACCAAATACCATGAACGGCTGTTGACGGGCCTCAAAGGTAGCAAGAGGCTCATTTTCATAGACTGTCCTGGGAAACTGGCTGAGCACATAGAGCATGAACAACAGAAACTACCAGCTGCCACACTGGCTTTAGAAGAGGACCTGAAGGTATTCCACAATGCACTCAAACTCGCCCACAAAGACACCAAAGTTTCTATTAAAGTAAGTTTCAATCTGTGGTTTGTAAGTGACTCCTTGCCTTTCTTGACTAACTAGACTATATTCTGGCCTTTCTGGGTGTCCCCATAGTCATCAAATGTCAAGTAAAATATTGGCTTCTAGGGGTATGATTTCTTGTTTTTAGTGTCAAACATCACGTAAACCTAGATGTGAGAAGACCAAGATTTCATCTTCATGGACGTGAGAGCTATACACTTAGTTGTACTATAGGTTTGGTCAGAGGCAGAAGAATGTTGTACAGAGGCCACTTTGCTATGTGTCAGTGGAATGGTAGGAACATGTAGAGAATGGAAAGTACCTAGTGAGAGTTCTGGTTATTATTGGCCTTTTGCAGAGTGAAGAACATGAACCTTGAGGATAAAATCAGTACTTTTCTATAGGATTTTGACCTATTTTTAAAACAAAATTAACTGATTTTGATGTTTTTAGTTTCTTTGGAGAGCACTTATCACAATAATTATTATTTGAATATACAGGGTGTCCCTAAAGTTCGTGTGCAGTTTACTACGTTACACTATTTAAATTGCACATGAACTTTAAGTCCACCCTGTATAATGGTGATATTTCTTCCAAATGCAAAACAGTGTGCTAGTTGGTTTTGGGAGCCTCTTAGGAGTCTATGTAATGGAATTTAATTCTTCTTTGCTCTACCCGTTACCACTACTTTCCAGGTTGGTTCTACTGCTGTTCAGGTAACCTCAGCAGAGCGAACAAAAGTCCTAGGGCAGTCAGTCTTTCTAAATGATATCTATTATGCCTCGGAAATTGAAGAGATCTGCCTAGTGGATGAGAACCAGTTTACCTTAACAATTGCAAACCAGGGCACGCCGCTCACATTCATGCACCAGGAGTGTGAAGCCATTGTCCAGTCTATCATTCACATTCGGACCCGCTGGGAGCTGTCACAACCTGACTCCATCCCCCAGCACACCAAGATTCGGCCAAAAGACGTCCCTGGGACGTTACTTAATATCGCATTACTTAATTTAGGCAGTTCAGATCCCAGTTTACGGTAAGTTTTTTAAAAGTTTATTTCAACTTCATTTAGATTTTGTTGCTTTTATTTTTTTTTTTAATTTCAGAATATCATGGGTGTACAAATGTTTTAGTTATATAAATCATGAACCATTTCAGTCAAAGTTATAAGTGAGTTTCTTTCGTTTAATATGAGACTTCTTGGTAAGCTTTGAAAGCAGCCTCTACCTTAATACTGTAAATTGGAAGGTATGCCATGTTGGTTAACCAATGTGACCTCATCAAGTTAGGGGATATTCACATGGACTGTGGTATTTTGAATAGGGTGATTCATACTAAACCAATATGTTTTTTCCTCTGGGAAACTTTCATCTAAAACAGATACCATGGCAGTTCCCCCCCGCCCCCAAAATCCCTTTTTAGAGAATCTACTCCTAAATTGTTTCCCCTACTCTGAGTCTTCTAATTAAATTTTTCCATGTTTAAAATATATCACTATTAAGTTTCAGAACAGCTAAATCAGATTATCATTGTTTGACAAAGGAAGTCTTCCTTTGTTTAATAAGTCAGTAACATAGTTGCAACTATCTCATTTAACAAGATTCTTGAAAGAAATTTATGATAAATGTGTCATCTGGAGCAAAGCGTATTTGGTTCTTTTTAGGCTTAGTAATTTGAACATTGCATGTGGAAAGAACCTGGCCTGTGCAGTCAGTAGATTTAGTTTAAACTTTAATCCCTATTTTCTAGCTTTGTGTGACTTTGCGCAAGGTACTAATATTCTCTGAGCTCTGGTTCCTCATTGGTAAAATAAAGGTTATGGTGCCTTCCTTATATACCCTACAATGGTTTAATAAATTGTACGTGAGGTAGGATAGTATAGCAGCCTAGTGCTTAGGAAATAGTAGTATGTGTATTTTCCCCCCTGCCTTTTCCCTCCCAGCCAACATCTCTTTGTACCTCTTCTCCCTTCTCTCCCATCTTTTTCATGTTAGGATAATTCTTTGTCTCAAGAATCCTGGGACTATCACGATTTTTATGGCTGTGAATTTAAAAGCTTCAAAAAATTTTCCCTGGGTATAACATAGCCCAGGTTTATAGTGGGCCATTAACATTGCAAATATCAAGATTTCTTTGCCTGAATAAGCTTGTGGGGTCCATGAACTCCAAGAAATTGTGCACAGAATTTTGTGTATGGTTAGCTTTAATTTTATCAGAAGGGTCTATAATACTTACCCCCAGGCTGAAGAAGCTCAATTCTTTACAGCTTTTGAAAAATACAGAGTAAAAGTTAATGTCAAAATAATATAACTTAGAATTTCTAGGAGTTACTGAAAGATACATAAACTTGGAAGCAGTAATATTTAATATTCTCATTTTTGGAAAAATGAAGCTATAATTTCTAATTCAGAGTTCTTTGTAGAAGAGTCCTAACAACCTTCTAATAATTACTAGCCTGGGAAGACCCATACACATCTTTAGTGCTACAAAGCAAGTGACAGCTTCTGCTTTTTGCTGAAGCATGTCATTTCAGGAAAAAAAGCTTTTAAGCAGACTTAAATTTCAGCAACTTCCCCTCTAGTTATGATTATTGCATAAATATATTAGTATAACAGAATTTCAGGAACACCGAACAGTCAAACTATTTTTATTTGCTAGATGAGGCAGAAAAATAAAAATTTTTAAATTGAGTCTTGAATTTTTGGGGCTATCTCCTAAAGTGCTTAGATACCTTTTCAGACATTGGAAGTGAACTTTGATCTTAATGGAACCTGGATATTGCAGGGTTTTGTTTTCACAGGTTGTATATGAGGTATTAAAGTGACAGAAGGAAAAATGGGGGGAACTTAATTATAAGTTAATTTTGGTTTTGATCTCTAGTTTGTAGTGTAACTTTTAGGACAAACAATGAAATTCATTAGATGCTGATTAAAGATTTTAACATTAGAAATTGATGAGAGGTTGTCTCATTTCTCTTCTTATGATCTCCATTATAACTGGATCTAGCAGGGAGAGAACTTACTAAAACAAGGATGTGCCTTATTCTGACTTTATTTTTATTGGTCCACATTAAGCCCCTAAATCTCTTGTTTGATGTCCCAGTAAAATGTCTGTTAGGTAGACCTATAACACCTCTGTCTTAGGAGCCTCATAGTGCTCTTCTGGTTATGTCAGTAATCTACCTTTTAATTAGCTGGCCATGGTGGTGGATGCTTCTAGTCCCTATTCAGGAGCCCAGGGCAGGAGGATTGCTTGAGCCCAGGACTTTGAGGCACAGTGAGCTATAAGCCACTGTACTCTAGCCCAGGTGATGGAGTAAGACTTTGTCTCAGAACAAAAAATTCCCTAAATGACCAATGGGTATCTTAGATAGAATCGTAACGTCTCTAATTGATCATAAAATTTAAAAGTAATTGACTATGCTTTGTAAGAGAACCACAAGTTGTATATTACAAAAAAATTTGGATTTATAAGGAAAAATACATTTTAAAACAACTTCATTTGTGTTTTCTCCTAGGTCAGCTGCCTATAATCTTCTGTGTGCCTTAACTTGTACCTTTAATTTAAAAATCGAGGGCCAGTTACTAGAGACATCAGGTTTATGTATCCCTGCCAACAACACCCTCTTTATTGTCTCTATTAGTAAGACACTGGCAGCCAATGAGCCACACCTCACATTAGAATTTTTGGAAGAGTGTATTTCTGGATTTAGCAAATCTAGTAAGTAAAGATAATTTTCTTTAATACTAACAAATATTCTAAGCAAATTCAAAGAAAATGCTTTCATTTCAGAATTTGCCAATGAAATCATTCACTTACTATAGTTTTTACTTTTTTCCCCTCTTCTAATTTTATATCTGTGTTGCCCTATAACTAAAGGAACTTCCTGGTAGGCCACATTGAGAAATCCACCAAAATTCTAATAATAAAAGCCAGGTGGGGGCGGCGCCTGTGGCTCAATGGGTAAGGCACTGGCCCCATATACCAAGGGTGGTGGGTTCAAACCAGCCCTTGCCAAACTGCAACAAAAAAAAAGCCGGGTGTTGTAGCAGGCGCCTGTAGTCCCAGCTACTCGGGAGGCTGAGGCAAGAGAAATCACCTAAGCCCAGGAGTTAGAGGTTGCTGTGAGCTGTGATGCTATAGCACTCTACCGAGGGTGACAGTAAAACTCTGTCTCAAAAAAAAAAAAGCCAGGCGGAAGATTTTGGTACATGTCTCTGGACTTCTTACAAAGTATTTTCTTCCCTTTGTAAGTGAAGTGCTTCACTTTAATCAGCCTCAGCATTTCTCCTCTTGGCAGAAAATTCCACACAAAGTAGCCACGCTGTCTCCTTGATTTTAGGAAAATAGTCATTTTCTCTTTTCTTCAGGTTGACTTTGAACTATGATTTTATTGTATGTGTACAGTTTGTGGAGAGTGTGGTGGTGCATAATATAGGGTCCAGAGTCAGTCTTGACTTGGTATTAATAAGTCTCATAAGTTTAACATCTACTTCTTGTATCTGTCCATCTCCATACCGTATAGTAGTGTAAATGTCAATCTCTTCTCAGCTGTTTCTTGATATTTTATTCCTTTTCCCTCTCGTCCCGTAATATATAAAACTTTTTTTTCCTGCATTCAAACACCTTGATTTTTTTTGTGTATTAGATAATTAAAAGCTTTAACAGTTCATCAGGACTAGGTCACTGGCCAAGCACAGTGGCTCACACCTGTAATGCTGGCACTCTGGGAGGCCAAGGTGGATGGATTGCCTGAGTTTAGGAGTTTGAGACCAGCCTGAGCAAGAGTGAGATCCCATCTCTAAAAATAGCCAGGCATTGTGGCAGGCGCCTATGGTCCCAGCTACTTAGGAGGCTGAGGCAAAAGGATCACTTGAACCCAAGACTTTGAGGTTGCTGTGAGCTATGATGCCACCGCACTCTACCAAGGGCAACAAAGTGAAACTGTCTCAAAAAAAAAAAAAGACTAAGTCACTATTTGTTTTTTTCCCCAAATAAGAGATGCAGAAGTAAAACTCTTAACAAGAATGTGGAAGACTGACAAAACAGAAGTATAGAACTTGGCTGATTAATATTAATATAAGAAAAGATTTGACAGATGTGCCATGGATAGGCATATTGAATTTCTGCATGAATAATTCTTCCTACATTATTACAAATTTGATGCAATTCTGTCAAAATAGCCATAGAATTTGGGGATTGAGAATGGACAAATTCTACCTAAAAGTACAAGAAAAGCTAAGAAAATATTGAAAGGAAAGAAAGCAGAGATTTCATGTTAGAGATACTTGAACACTTTATAACAGTGTAATAATTAGAACATTGATGTTCAAGAGTCAGGAGTCAAATTAGTTTTAAAAAAAACAGATTAATACTGAAGCATTACAAGTTTAAAAACTCACTAAATCATTTAAGAAATAAGATTGGGGCTCTGTGCATGTACACTACAGTGGTTATGGTGCTGGCCATATACACCCAGGCTGGCGGGTTCAAACCTGGCCCGGGCCAGCTAAAACAACGACAACTGCAACAAAAAATAACTGGATATGTGGTGGGCACCTATAGTCCCAGCTACTTGGGAGGCTGAGGTAAGAGAATTTCTTGAGCCCAAGAGTTTGAGGTTGTTCTGAGCTATGATGCCATGGCACTCAACCGAGGATGACATAGTGAGATTCTGTCTCAAAAAAAAAAAAAGAAAGAAAAAGAAACAAACAAACGAGAGTGGGAAATGAATTAAGTTTGGTCTTGATCTTCACCATGCACCACAAGGTACCACATAAGTTCTGGCTATATTTGAGTTGAATAAAAGTTAGAACCATTTTTTAAAAAGAACAAAAAGAAGCGAATGTTGATTGCTTTCTACAGTAATGATATATGAAGCAAAAAAGTGACAGAAGGAATCAAAGGAAATGGTGAACAGATTTGACTGCATAAAACTTTAAAAAGATCTCTACTCAAAAAACAAAGTAAATGATAAAATATAGGAAATACACTTGGAACAAATATGAAAAAAAGCTTAATATCCTTAATCATGAAAAGTTCTTACAGAGTAGAAGGAAAATGGACCAACAGTAACATGTAGATCATACTAAGTACTTACGTATTTATTTTATTTATTTTTGAGACAGACTCTCATTTTGTCACCCTCAGTAGAATGCTATGGCATCACAGCTCACAGCAACTTCAAACTCTTGGGCTTAAGCAATTCTCTTGCCTCAGCCTCCCAAGTAGCTGGGACTACAGGCGCCTGCTACAACATCTGGCTGTTTTTTTTTGAGACTGAGGGTGGGTGAGTGGTCTTGCTCTGGCTCAGGCTGGTCTCGAACATGTGAGCTCAGGCAGTCCACTCATCTCTGCCTTCCAAGTGCTGAGATTACCGGTGTGAGCCACTACACCCGGCCTTAAGCATTTATATTTTAAGAAGTTTACTAACGAACTATAAAAATGCAATTGAAAGAACAGTAAGCTATCAGCTATCAGATTGGCAAAGGTTTTGTTTTTATTTAGTCTTAGTGGTCTGTGGAATTGTGAACAGAGGCAATTTTTATAAAAAGGTTTTTGGATATGGATATCAAGTCCCTTAATATTGTTCAGACTTTTTGGCCTCACAATTCCACTTTTATAATATATCCTAAGAAACTTTAAATGTTTAGCATAGCATTTTAAATTTTTATATGTGTATATATATATATATATATATTTTTTTTTTTTTTTTTTT